ACCTGCCGGATTAATGTTCACCGGAGGCCGGAGATCGGAGGCCGGAGATCGGAGATCGAAGGTCGGAGAGAGGAGTTTTTTAAAAATACCTAAAATGCCCTTTAATTATAATTTTAACTCAAATTACCATAATTACTAATTTCCTTATTTATCCGTTGATTTGTGGTTAATATTGGTTCTCACAGTTACCACAAACAACTCAGTTCTCCCTTGAATAGGCCTATATATATATATATATATATATATATATATATATATTCATAGGGGCCTATTCAAGGAAGAACTGATTAATTTGTGGTAACTGTAAGATCCAATCTCAACCACAAATCAATAGATAAATTAGAAAATTTATAATTTTGGTGATTTTGAATTAAAATTTTAATGTAAGGACATTTTAAGTATTTTCTCTTCTCTCTCCGTCCCCCATCCTCCGGCCACCAACATCCGGTGATACCTAGAAATATTCTCTGTTAAACAAAAGATACAATGTGATACCCAAGCACATATAAGATGCATTGTGATACCACGGTTATATAACTGGAGGACGGGGAACAGAGAGAGAAGAGAGGAGAGTTTTAAAATACCTAAAATGTCCTTGCATTAAATTTTTAATTCAAAATTACCAAAATTATAAACTTCCTAATTTATCTATTGATTTATAGTTGAGATTAAAACTCACGATTACTACAAACTAATTAGTTCTCATTTGATTAGGCCTCTATATTTATATTCGTACTATAAGACATAGGAGTAATATACTATCTTTTAAATTTTATATTTCTAAGCATACATGTTTTGTATTTTCTTTTTTATGCAAATCAAATGGCTGCTCTAATTATTCTAAAAATTAACTAATCCTTTTTTAATTTAAACATTCAACACTTTCAATTAACTTACCGGATAATATATTAACACGACATTTTTATCCAGTATCATGACATTACGATTCTGAATCATTCTCATGTTCATCCAATAAGTATCATCGTTTAGTAAACAACCCTTTAGATATATCATAATCAGTTTTTTTTTCTTTTCTTGTAGGATTAACTGATAATAAAACAAGAGTAAATTGAGGATTTGGTCCTTATTGTATGTGAATTTTTATGAAATTAATCCCTCTATTTATTACTTAGGAGCCGTTTACCAAACACTTACCCGGTAAGCGCTTTCGAGTAGTATTTAACACTATCATTTATTTACCGGGTAAGATTAGTCCACCAAAACGGTATCTGATGCAATAATTTACCCGGTAAGCGCTTACCGTAGTAAGAGTCGTTGTCCTCACTTACCGGGTAAAACTCTTATTCATTGTCTCGCTCTCTTAGGTAAGATTCTTGATTCTTATCATATTCATCCGGTAAAACAATGTGACTTGATGTTCACTTACTCGAGTAAGCGTTTAGTAAATGGCCCCTTAGTTTTTCATGGATTTGGTTCTTCGCATCTACAAGATCCATTAAACTTTCTCTCACAACTGTTTCCTCCGGTGGTGTCTCCTTCGATGGGGGGAGAAAGAAGATTGGTAGTGGATGGTGAGATCAGAGAGAGAGAGAGAGAGGGGAAAGAGTTGTTCTTCTTTTCTGGTTAAAAAGGAGAAATATTAAATATTAAAACAGAGAAAAATACGAAAATGCCCTCACAATTAATGGATGGTGGTATGATTCAGAACCCATGAAAAGAATTGCATACCACTCATACCACCGGCTAATCTACTTGATAAATAAAGTTTACAAGCTGATTCCATAAACCACAGGGACCAAATCTGTAATTTAGTCATAAAAGAATGAAGTTTTAACTTAGCTTATGGTCCTCTCTTTCTGCTGCAAGTAGCTGCTTTGTCTTTTCAAGAACACCAAAGAAAATGGAGCCTCCAATACCTATCCACAGAACCCTCGGCCCCATACCCTGCACCACCATCATCATAATACCATTCTCACTCACCATACCAACCATCTCCCTCTCTCTCTCTCTCTCTCTCTCTGTGTGTGTGTGTATATATATATATATATATATATGAATCAAAACAAAATGCAATTAATAGGAAGGACGATTGCACCTTTAGAAATGCAGAAGCCCCTTCTTCCTTTAAAATGGTGCCGACACAGTGGGAGATACTTGTGTACTGGTTTGATGATCCCTGCCACCCAAAAACATCAAACTCAAACTCATCTTCTACATTATTAAATAAACATATACATAGATTTTTTTTATTTAAAATAAGAAAAACTAAATAAAGATGAAATGGAGTGGAGTGGTATACCTGAACCATCAACCTAGTCTTTATCACATCTAATGGTGTTGTTACAGCTCCTGTGATTGCACCTGTACCACAATTTCACTATTACAAATGATTTTTGCATATCCACACTTCCTTTCCTATTTTCTAAACCATTTACTTCAAAGATTGCATAATAACATGGTAACACTTTGTTCAAAGTTAAAAAAATTGAGCAAATCAAGCTGTGCAATGTTCTTCAAAAAGGTTTAATAAACAGCTACTTACCTGCAAAAGCACCGATCACAGCATTCTCAGGATCACTAAGATTCCTTTTCGCCTGCAGAATTATTAAAAAGAGAAGTCGGATAATGCAAATACATCATAATGCAACAAGGCAAATGTGTAGTCCAATATTATAGTAAATGGTGAAATCTTTTTAACAGGTACATGCCTTGTTTTAACATGGGATATGAAAAAGTCAAGAATGTACCGTTCAGATGTTTACTATAAACATGGACCAGAGTCAGCTTACCGCTAGTTTATACCCAATTCGAAGCTGCTCGTATATGCAAAACTGGATGGCATCAAAAGGCAAGTCTCGCAACAGAAAAGAACTATACCCCTGCAGGAGTCATAGAAGCATAAGCAAATAAAGGATCCCAACATCTAATTAAACACAAATCACAAGGTGCTACTTCAGTGCATACAATAATGAAACCAACTTTTAGGACCAGAACTTATTAGACTATTGATAATGAAACAAGACCAACTCTCAGAACCACAACTTATGAAACCTGAAACTCTGTCTGTTGCTCAAATCACATACCGCAAAAAGCCCTTTAAAGCCCTCTTTAGCAACAATAAGGCGAACAGCATCAGGGGCTGAAGCAAAATGCCCAGTCTGCATCCTTTGCTTAACAACCTGCAAAACATGGTAAACAAGGAGCAACACAGCAGCATCTAAAGATAAGGTCAAGAGTTAACAATGACATACCTCTGTTGGTACGCGTATAATAGAAGAAGCAGCTCCTCCAACAGCACCTGCGGTCTATATTAAGTTTAATAGGCAGTTCAAATGAACAGAGAAAATACGTGCAAATACACACACACACACATACTACCATATGAGAATATGATATCAGGAGCTCTGGGTGATGCTGAAAATGACTAGTGGTTGATGAAAATGAGATACAAGCCATCATGAATTTTGAGTGAGCTTCTGCTTTCTCAACTACTACTCAATTTGGATGATCACCAAAAATCCCTTTTTACCTATGTATTTACATGCATATAATAAGAACCCCCCCAAGTACATTTTGTGATGTATGGAATATAGGAAAGAAAAATAAGCACACAAAAATACAAAATCAAATACCAAGTATAGTGCAAGTAAAATGACTGTAAATGTGAAGAGATAAAACTGAAGGCATAGCTCAAATCTTTATTAATTTTCATTAAACTATGCAAAAAAAATGCAAAACAGCCCACAAAATCAACAGAGATTAGATTAATAACACTTGGAATATTCTGCACTATTTCTTTGTAGTCGAGCATTACATGTGCAAACTCAGAAAAAGAAAAACAGAGCTGTTTAGAAACATGCTTGTCATGGTTAAACTGGTCTTAGAGGGTCACCAGTCCTCATATTAATCGTCGCTTAATGCCCTACGTCAGCATGCGGAGGGAGAGGGATAGATGTATAATGCCTCCCTTGAAATCCTAGGGCAATCAATGCCGTTTTATCTTAAGCAAACACATGGTGACACAAATATTATGTGCTAGAATATATGAGTGCCAAAAGCTATTAAGTACTCGGACTACATCACATTCAGTCAAGATTGCCACCGTAGAGTTGCAATATTAGACAGGTCAAAATACTTGAATTTTACCCAAAGGACCAAAAATGTCAACTTCTTTGAACTGCCTTTCAATTTAGCATGCAAAAAGTTTCTTTGATCCTCCAAGGCCCCGAAAAGCCATAACAAGAGACAAATATTAAGCAAGTACTAAGTAAGAAAATAAAGGAGATAAATTACTAACTTCCTAACAAGATAAAGAAGTCAGGCAACTCCTTAAGATTATCCAGACAAAATCAAGCATGCTACAACATTAACAAGTAGGCATAAGGCAAACGAAGAAAGCAACTAAAACCTTCACAGCCTACAGCTCGAATCAGAAGTACTAAAGTTAAGTAGATCATAATCAAAATATTATGTCAAGAACCATTTTCAGGTAAGAAAAATCTATAGCAACCACTAAACTCAACGATTTACTATTTTTTGTTATAGAAAACATGCAAGTTGATGCATATTCTCTTTAATGCACTCTTTCTCCAAGAATGGAAAAACGGTGGTATCCATGATGATTGCCATTGAATTACTGTCAGCAAATGGCAATTATCACATTGCTCCAGCAAAATTAGACCTTCGCAGGTACATACGTTTTAGCGCAAAATATTAGCATGTATATAGTTGGAGCACTCACCAGGTGAGCCAGGGCACTAAGATTTTCAGGGAAGCTCTTCAGTAGCTTTTGCTTTGTAGGTTCGTATACACCAATAAATATGGCTGATGCACTGAAAGGATTAAAAGAGTTCAACAACATTTTCCTTAAAATAGGAAAATACAAGTATTATATAAGTTTCAAACAATGCCAACAAGCCTTTTACCAAAGTAGTTGGGGCAGGCTAAAAAACCCATGTAAATTATAAAGAAGTCGAACCCCATAGGAATTATAAAGAGGAAGGATCCCAGCTCTCCGCAACATGAATAGAATCATCAATTCACTCTATCCAAGGCCAATTTCTTTGTACACCTCACTCGCTTAAATGTTAAATCTCTCTTCAAAACATACGCCAATGTCATTCTTGGCCAATATTTACCTCTCCAACGACCTCTTATTGGTATGAGTCTCCTCTTCTAATTGGAGCATCTAAAAATCTACACTGGAGATCACCTAGTAAGCTCAAGCGACATTATCGTAGCTTCTCCTCAGCCAATGTCACCTCAATCTTCTCGACATTATCATCCGATGAGCTTCAAAATTAATAAAGGCTTTATGGTGGCAAATACAGAGGAGAGTCGAGAAAGACTGGGGAGGTAGAGGTCATCTGGGGCAATGAGCTACTTTCAACAAGAAGACATGCAGCTGCAGTATCAAATAAATTCTTCCTTGATTTTATAATATCTGATCATGCAAGTTTTTATGCAAAAGGGCCATTTTCACCTTTGTATTTGCTGTGCTATATAATAATAGAAGCTTGCCAGAAGTTAGTTATCACCTTTTACCCTCACAAGAATGAAGATAGAGAGACAAAAACGTGTCGGAGACTTGGAGGTGCCAAACAATATTTTCTCAGAAAGGCCAGACATTTCTCCCTCACAGGCTTACTTAAGAAAGGAAGCTGAACCTTTTTCATGTTTTCCCTAATAGAATCCAGGAAATGAGGCATCTTAGCCAACTTCAGTATTGATAAGTACAAATATATACATTTTTATGTCAAAGTACCTTGCAATTAATGTTAAGTAGATGCTTAAAATGTCCATTTTTTAATTCAAGTTGCTATTTAATTATATAGGTCATTTAAGTTGGAAAAGAAAGAAAAAAAGAAATTTGATTTATTTTGTTTTGATCTCATGTTTCAGCAGCCCAAAATCAAGCCCAGCTGCAGCCCATGAATAAAAATAAAAATAAAAAGGAAGAAGAAGAAACAGCAGCAGCCCAAGGCTGCTGCCCAAGACCAGCAAGAGAGAAATCAAGAGGGAGACGTGAGCAGCAGCAGCCAGACGAGGTGCGGGAGATCGTGGGTGAGTACGAGGAAGATCGTGGGCAGAGATGGGAGGAAAGGAGGCGATAAAGAGGCTGTCAATCGAGAAGAAAAAAGAGGTCGGAGGAGACAGCAAAAGGGGCTGTCGATTGAAAGCAGAAAAGAGAAAGYTGTCGATATAGAGGCAATCGAGAAGGAGCAGCAGTCGGTTGAGAAGTCGGTCAAGAGGGAACGAGCAGAAATCRAAAASGGCAGTAGCAAGGCAGAAATCGARAGGAGGATTAGAGGACTAATTGAGAGTTTCAAGAGRATTGATCATGACTRGAATCGTGAAGAAACAGTAAGCCTATTTCGAGATATTGGGTAGCGATTTTGAAGACAAATTCCAGGTTTCTTCACTAATTCTAAAATTTCAATCATTTTGTAAATTCTGTTTAGTTCTAAGCATGAGTAACTAAATCCTTTACTCTAGTAATGAGTATGTGATTACTTTGAATTTGGATTCGTTGAGACTTACGTCAATTTTAATATCATTTGAAGCTATTTATGCGAGTTTAGAGTTGAATGCTTATCGTTTTGAGTTGGATATTTTGAGTAGGATCCCTTGTTATGTCTAATTCAATTTCGAGTTGCTAGATAAACCTTTAAGTCCGTAATTGCTTTTCGGTTTATTGAAGTAGCACACGACACACAGTTGACATTTATGTTAAATGATGATGTTGTAAGATCGTATAATCTAATTTAAACAATCGGCGCTCGATTGTCGATTAGTGTTGGGTTTGTTTGACGTTAATGCAACTGGCAATTAAATTCTAAGTCCGTGACTAGGTTTGATTAGCTAATTAGAGGTTAGTCGTAGAGTGTTCAAGACTGATCATGCTTTTACAACGAACAGAATATTGACGCGTGTCGATGTCCTAACCAACTTGGTTTCTTTTGAGAAAATGGATTGAATGAGTCGATGATATATAATCCAAAGGATTAGTTAATTGATGCTCATTGCTAGTCTCGTTCTTATTATTGTTTAAAGTTCCCAATTTATTTTGCATATTTAGGCTATTTATAAATATTCCAACCCCCCCCCCCCATTATATATATGCATATTATTTTCAATAAATTTGCACGCGGTTACGTCTTGGACTTACAGTTAACACCGAGTCCCTGAGGAGACGACCCTACTTATCGCTATCACAAGTGTGTTTTAGAGATAATAGGCTTATTTTATAAAATTCTATTATTTGCCGGACTCGACACCCGTCAAGTATCCTCTTTCTCTTCTTTTAGAGGCAAAAACATGTAAATAGTACTATGTAGCCATGAAAAAAAATGCTTTGAGCCAAGTGCAATCAAGGGATCTTGCAACTCTTGGACTACCGAAGGGGCTGGAAAAGGTCATCAATCTTTTTGCAAACTGATGTTGCTTTTCAAAAGAATCTTATTGTGAACAGGAACCACTAAAGGGCTCCATGGCTATCTCTTCTGCTGATGAAGTACAAAGGCCTATGCAGATGCATTAACCACAGCCATGTGTTGGGTTGCTTAGCTACAACCAGAAGTGTGAAGCGCACACACGGAAGGAGCAAAGAGGCCTTTAGGCCTTTGTATGTTTGGCTGATCGATATATAGAGACAAATATGTGAATGAAATGAAAGATAAGGTGGAAGATGGGAAAAAGAAAGCCTAACAAAATGCATTCCCTGCCCGTTTTGTTGATCATAAGATGATAAGAAGAAGATAAAGGACAATGCATATGTACAACAATTCTAGTTGAGGAAAGAAGCTAGAACTTACGGTAAGACACCTGCAAGATTTCCAGCCAAACCAGAGTACAAACCCTTCAAGATAATTTTTCCTCCACCACGAACTGTATACCATTAAAATCATAAAAATATAAGAACTCTAAAAACGCTTTCAAGGCTGAACTAGTTATCATACTGATCCAAATTTAAATTCTCTAACAGCAGCAATATCAACATACTGCAGCATCCCATATGGCGATATGGAATAAAAACGCAGTGGTTCAAAAATTATATAAAATTAAACGAAATTAAATAAAGTCATGCAGACATGCACATATGACACAAGGGAAAACTTTCCCCACTGTGTGTAGATAAGGACTTCCTCTTGCAAATGATAGAAATCTCTGTAAAACATAGAAAATCCAAGGATTGGTCTATGGAGCATATGATTTTTACAAGTCCCACTGTACTCTACCTGTTTGAAGTCGGGTTTTAATAGTGTCAAGTGGATATAATACAGATTCCACAACAACTCCAGCAGCAGCTCCAGCTATAGCACCATCTGCAAAATGGAAAATACTTTTACAAGTGTGTAGCCAAACACTGCTCTACTAACGTTCATTGTAGAGAATATCAAACTAAACTACGGTGAAATACAACAATTACATGTTTTTCTGATAATAATGCTTCAAATAACAGGAAAAATCAATTTATTTCTAATTAAAGCTATGGGCCTACTATGTAAGAATTATCACATTCCTGGCCTCTCTTCTCCTTCTACATGCTTTGTTTTCTGATAAAACCACCATTAGAAACCATCTCAGTTAATTAAGCTTCTAGCAGAAAAGTCGGTAAGCTCAACATGGAAGTATTATTCCCTCTGTCCCATGTAAGTTGCAACAAATTCAATTAAGGGTGTCAGACAGGAGTTGCAACATTTTCTTTTTTTGGCAAGTATCCAAGCTAGAATTGTTTATTTGTCAATTGTCATCATTACAACTTGTTGATGCTATTGATTTTGGTCCACAAGACTCCCCCTCTTTGATCAATTATTGAAGAGCATCTGAGAAGTTTAGCTAATCAACACTTCTACAAAACCATGTGCCAATCAGACATTACAATTTTCATAAAATAGATGAAATATTAGGTCACAAGCTATTTAAGGACAAAGTTTACAACCATTTCCCTTACAGAGGACCTTCCACTTTAAATCTATGAGTATTTAGATGACAACTATAATCATTTCATACATAAAACATTTAATAGGGGAACCCGCAGGCAGTGGCAGAGCTAGGATTTCAATCAGTTATTTAAAATAGCAAGCACAATGATTTATATTGATGAAATGATAAATTCAGAAATTCAAACACAACGCTAAATTCTGTTTTCTAAAACTTATCCATCATACCAATTTGATAGAGCTGAGTTAACAGGTGCGATTGACTCTTTCCAATTTCTGTGATAGAAATTAAAGGTTTAAAAACGCTAAATAAATCATAAAGTAAAAAACTTTCTTTCGTAGATTTCTGTTGTTTTCTCTATTTTCTTAACAAAATATTAATGGAATTATGTGAGAAACATATATAATTGAGATTGAGTTGTTATAAATGAATTAAAGATGTGTATTACTCGTAGTAAACCAACCCTGTTTTTACTTACAAATAAACTATATAAAAACCCATGAATTAAATATCTTTGGGACAAGAACCAATATAGATGATAAGGCACCATAAAAGCTATTGCACAAATTTCATTGTTATAGGGACCAAAAGTGCATATGGAAAAGAAGTTTAGGACTATCGTATTATAGATATAAAAAGAATAGCTAGCAGCACCCCAAATTTCTACAACTCCCAGCCACAAAATCAAGAGATCTAAATATACATAGATTAGCATGTTTGTGAGAGAGGAGCTCACAGAACAACTAAATATGACTTGTCTACATATATGTTATATAAAAATTGAAATGCCAGGGGGAGCATGTGCCCTCCCTGGTTCCAACGTGGCTCCGCCCTGCCCACAGGTCTCTATGACTTTAAATGCTCTTTGAACAATTAAAGAATTTGATTTTGATCACATTCTCCTAATACCATTAATTTGGTCATCAGGATGTGTCTTGACCATCACCAGAATATTACAGAATTCTGCATTTTTTTTATCTGGTAAAAAAAACTGGAACTAACTTCTACTTCTTTCTTACATTTTCATCGAGTCCTTTTCTATGTACAAAAACGGTTATACTAGTCATAACGAAATAATATGCGATAAACCCAAAGAAAGCACCTATTATTCAATCAATGTCTTAGATCAACAAATCGGCAATTGCAAATTACCTCACTTCATGCATGTCAATAGATCATCATTAATTATAATCAGAACCATGAAAGGCAGCGAGAATCATCTAATTCAATGGAATGATACGTATTTAGCACTATGTAAATGAGCTTATTCTCCTTCATTCCTTCTTTAGTGATATTGTGTTGGATGAAAATAATAGCACCAAACTCCGTAAATGATATATATATGGGTCATAAATAATAGACCTTTTTCCTGTTTCACATTTTTCTTCTTCATATGCAAACAAAAACTTGCAAGCCGGGGGACTTTACAGAAACCACTTCACTACCTTTAGGAGGTAGAGGTAAGATCTGTGCACATTCTACTCTCTCAAAACCCTACTATCAGGTGGGATACACTGGATACATTTAGTTAGGGGCCGTTTACCTAATCACTTACCCGGTAAGCGCTTACCCGTGAAATTCAACACTATCGCTTACTTACCGGGTAAGATTTTTGTCCACAAAAACAGCATCTTATGCAACAATTTACCCGGTAAGCAATAACCGTGGTAAGAGCTGTCACTCTCACTTACCGGGTAAGACTTTCGGTCCTTGTTTCTCTCTTATCGGATAAGATTTTTGGTCCTTTCCATATTCATCCGGTAAGGTAACGTAACTTGGTAAGTGCTTACCCGAGTAAGCTTTCGGTAAACAGCCCCTTAGTTTTTTTTTAATGCAAATAACAAAACAAGTGTTCAACAAGATAGTTATTGATGATACAACATACCCAACAAAACTCGAACAAAATCGAAGGGGTTGTCTTCTTTTGTGCCAACTGATGCAGCATGCTTTTTTGGTGCATCTTTACAGCTGAACACTTCGTATTTTAATGTATCTGTAACAAACATTGTAAGCTCAAAATAGATTAGCAAACAGAAATTTATATCTTAAACTTGCACGAAACATACCTGATAGGCTGATACCACTAAAGAATCACATCTTAAATTCATGGATAATATCATGGCTAGACATGTCAATTTTGACATAGAGATTTGCAATTGATGGGGACCTCAAAGGCATGAATGGAGATTTGCATAAATTAATATTTGGAAATTAGGTTGTATTATATACAGATAAATGTATATTTATTTATCTGGTACGGTGATACGTACTGTATATAGGCTAGTATTTAGGGCAATGATTATTATTAGCATTATTAACATCATCATTTAACTTCATTGTCACAATGGCTAGTAGCTTTTTTTGCTAGTAACTGTTAGCAATTTAGCATTCTCTTTATTTATATAGGGGATGTAATTCCATATTGAAAAGGGCGTGAATGATAGTGAGTTTGTAGAAGTCTTTGAAACGTTTTCTTTTCCACTGTCCTTGTTCTCTCTTTCTGCTTCTCTAGTCTTCTCAGTTCTCCAATCTTCCAGCTATTGTTCTACATCAAAACGTGGTTTCCGCACAGTTTATGTATAGCACTTGTCACATTTAATATAGATATCAAAGAGGCATAGAATAATTACGTACACATATCTCTGAGCTACTTACATGGTTAATCATCACTTGCAATTACAAACTACTTTAGACACAACGTTTTCAGAATAAACTATCCAGCACAGTTTTGTTTAGCTTTAGTTATTTTAACAATAAAGATGATGTCGATTTTCAAAACACTTGTTATAAGTGTACTGATTTGATCCCCATGAAGGATCATCACTGAATAGCATGCTGCCAGCCTGCCACCAGCATAAGTCTACCAGTTTCCATAAAGCCATGTTGAAGTGGAAAAGTTCAAACAATGAAGTGTCAAACACTCACTCAAAAGCAAATATTAACTGATTAACGAAAAGGTTTTGTATTCAATTAAATAACTTTATGTTAAAAATGATATCCCCATGGAGAACTTAAATCAAGGCTAGCTCAAGCAAGCTGTAGAGGACCAAATCATCAACTTGATTTTCTCCCTTCCAAAATTAAAGATATCAACAGTTAAAGTGGCGTAACATTCCAACAACAACAAGAGACCTTTTCACAAGAATTGGAACCAAAAGAAATTATAGAAAAACGATGCTATCAAGCAATTATTGTTGGAGGTATTTGGTTTCATCCATTAGGTGGTAACACATTGAAAGTAATGGGTTCAAATCCCCTTACCACAAAAGTTATCAATTGGTGAAACAACCAAGACTCCGAAATCATTTGTTTAAAGTGGCATGACGTTAGGAAAAATCTGTAGCACCCATCAAATTTACCAAGAAAAAATCTATAGCAGGGTTGCTATATATTTATCCTATCACTAATTTTTCATTATTTGTTAAGTATCGACTCATTACTGTCAACTTCCAACAAAAGATCAGGGATACAATTTAAAGCATAAACTTAAGGTGAAGGTAGAGGATTATAATTCTAGAAATGGAGGGCGTACATGCAAGTGATTAAAGATAAATACTTGAGCTAATCAGAAACAAGTCAAAAGAAAAATTCCATTTTCTGAGCAAAAACGAAGAAGATAAACATGTACCTGGTGATTCTGTCTTTTGATTCGCCGACATTGCAGGAAAACTCGAATTGAATCGATCAGAGAAAGTAAGAAGATATCTTCCAATTGTGCATAAATAAAAGAAAAGTGACAATCAACGTGATAGAGTAGACATTTGGAAACAAGAGGCGATAATGATATTACAGTCTGTGACAATTAGTTGGAACTTAAAACCCTGAAATCTGGCGATGTAGGGTTTAAGCAGACGAACACCTCGAGTGAGGGGAGGGTCCAATTTTGGGGTTTTGTTATTTCAAAGACTGCTACCATGACTTGTATTTCGTTACAAACCAGATTAAAATATGATCAACAAAATGTAATACATGGTCCAAGTGAGGAACCAAGAGCATCGCTTTCATGCTGAATCAAGGGTTTTTAAGCCATTAAATTCATGAAAAGTGTAATAGCCCACACCATACCCCAATAAGAGATGTGTAGGTGTTGGTTTATGTATAACGTAAACTTTCATATATATATATATATATATATATATATATATACTAGAAGCGTACTCGCGCAATGCAGCGAGATACATCGTGTTTTTAATATTTCATTTTATTCTTTATCTCAGTCGATGTTATAATATGGCTTTATGTGATTTTGAGAAAGCGATGATGTTTTTATTTTTGAATAAAAT